GTTTTTTAAGCAATGTTTTTCTCATACATTTTTTTTCTTTTCACATGTTACCTATCTAACACCCAAAGTAATTTTCACATTAAGATTAAAAATATTTTTATGCATTAGAAAATTTTCAAATTTCACAAATTAAATGTTTGTGAATTTTGGAAACGGTCCCTTATATACACTTTCTTCAATATATGACATGTGAGTATCCAATTCAGAATGTCCCTCTAGTGGTTTTCTCAGCCATTTTAAAATGTTGGGAGGTCCTCTCATTCTTTCAAACCAATATTTCAAGCAGGTAGGTTGTATATTTAGTCTGCTCCAAATTTCATATTTTTTTAGACCTAAATACAGCTTTGTTTTGAATTTCGCGCAAAGCTACACGAGGGCTACCTGCACTAACCGTTCCCATTTTAACATTGTAATACTAGAGGTAAGGAAGCTTGTCATCACAACCTACCGCCCACTCTTGAGATACTCTTTTACCAACGAATAGCAGTATATAAAGCCCCACGGCTGAAAGGACGAGCATGTTTGGTGGGACGGGGATTCGAACCCGCGACCCTCAGATTGGGAGTCAAGCATCCTAACCACCTGGTCTGCTCTACAAACTCACTCACTGTCTTTCTTGTTTCAAGTAATTCCCAATTTCTTTGCCCTCTGTGACACTATACATGCCATTCCACAATTACATTTACCATTGTCAATCGTGCACACACTAAATTTTAGACAGTATACATTCTGCTCCACAAGCACGTCTGCTATATTTCTTATGTAACGTGCAGTGCAGGATGTTACTAGATATGCCTGCTACCCTCTTTGTTAATATGTTGTTTTTCAAAATCATTGTTGTTTTTTGGTGTTATCAATTTCTAAGCCGAGGTCGCTCGACTAACGCGTTAACTTTACCTGATTTGAAAGTATGCAAGATGTGGGTTCACCAATTGGCAATTAACTGACTTCTTTTATAGGGAAGATAGCACGTGAAGTTATCTTTCCTGATGGTGAATCGGATGAAGTTCAGGGGCATCCACGCCTTAAAACTTCATTCTCAGTGTACACACATCTCGTGTGCAAATATTGCTTTTTTGTGTGTGTTTTGCTTTTGCATAAAAAGTCATGTTTGTCCCTGTAAAGTATAATGATCAGGATACACAAGGACTTGGCCGATTTAAAGGATATTCAGGATTTCACAACAATGTTTAGATTTTTTAATGTTGTAGCTTTAAACTTCTTTGATTTTGGTTTGATATTAAATTCTAACTTTTACTTCTACTCTGCGAAGTAAAGCGTGAGTTTTAGTGAAAAGTTTCGAGCATTTTTATTTAATTTTACCTTTTAGATAACGTTCCAAACTCATGTTTAAACTTGGGTTTGGTTTAACCCAATGTTAGTAGTTTTATTTTCACATGGTATTTAAACTCATCTGGTGGTTTTACGCTTATTCTTATTTTCGGGTTTAGTTTAACTTACAGGAGGAGGAACACAATGAAGTGGTAAGAACTCATTCAGTAAGGTCTTCATTTGCTGTTAACGGTTTAAAACCCATCACTTGCCCGTGTGTATAATCGTATTGCGAACTTGCAAGACTATCGATGTTCGAGCTATTTTTCTCGACTACTTAGTTATAAGTAGGAAGACAATTTTTTCCGTAGTTCAGTATTCTTCGAGCTTCCAATTAGAAGGCCTAACTGACTGCTCTGCTGAAAAACAGTTTTACCGGGAGTATTCCTTATTATGTGCACTGTGTGTGACACCCTGCACCCACACACATTCCTGCTATCCTTCTTGTTTAAGATGTCTCCCGGTTTGTATACACTTTGTGACACCCTGTGTTTACATACATTTCTGCTATCCTTCTTGTGTAAGGTGTCTCCTGGTTTGTGTACACTCTGTGACACACTGTGTCTACATACATTCCTTCTGTCCTTCTTGTGTAAAGTTTCTCCCGGTTTCTGTACACTTTGTAACACACTGTGTCTACATACATTCCTGCTGTCCTTCTTGTGTAAAGTTTCTCCCGGTTTCTGCACACTCTGTGATAGTTAACTCTTTATGCAGCCCCAATTTCTTTGTACATAAGATGGTCACTTTTATTTTTATCATATTAAAACCAAAGATTCTTTTGTATTATATAGTCAACATTTTCTGATATGTGTGATACAAACTTTTTTAATCTAAAGCGCACATATTTCTTTACTATAGTGGTACTTAACCACTCGTAATCATTGAAAGTCTGTCATCAAATCACAAACTATTTGGTAATATGTAAATGTAGATGGAAATTAAACCTTTACCCTTTTTTTACTATAACATACACATTTGGGCCTTAGGGTTAATAAGTACATATCCTACCGTTATTTGTTATTTGTGCTGTGCCCCCCCCCCCCATAACTATCGATACTAGCCACTGAGCCACTTGGAGGGGGGGGGGCGTGAAAGAAATGGAACTATATAACTTTAAGAAACCAAAAAAAAAGTATCTACATTTCATTCTAGTAATGGTATAATTGTTCGGACTACTTTTTTCGTCGAGAATAACAGTCTGAATAATTATACCATTAGTAATGCTAACTCAGTCATTCCGCGAAAATATACATTTCGTCTATTTGATATTATAAAACGTGAAATCTTAATTCTTGGATTGGATTTTTTTAATGAATATTTATATATATTTATAAACAGTTGAATTTAAAGAAGTTTTCCATGTAAGTACTAATGTTGAAAGGGTCAATAATTATTATTTTACTTGTATTTGTCCTTCATAGAATGGCTTTAAACTATAACTTTAAGCAACATATGTATATTCATAATAAAATAAAAATATATGAAAATAAAACATTGCTCTCAATAAAATATTAAAAATATTCATTTTATTTTATTATCTTTAAAAAGCTATATTTATCGTGTGAAATCCATGTAGTATTTAAATATATATTTTATTCAATTCAAATGCATAAAATATAATAATAACACACTAGCATAATAATACACAAACAATTAAAGAATTAAAAATATATAAAATTATTCGTTTCGACAGACCAAGCTCGTCATTGTCAAAACTATTCTAAGCGTCTTGTAAGTTCAGGTATCGAAGGGTCAGAGTTCGCTAACGGTAGTAGAACTAATATGAAAGAAACAACTTCCAGATAGGGTTGTTTTCAAATTCCATTTCATTACTGAGCATGTTTTTCTCTATTTTCAAATATTTCTATCGATTTTCTTGTGTTAATGAAATAATTTTGGTTCTGTAATGATATATGATTGATCGAAATTATTTTGTTGTCAATTGTGTTAACGTTAAAGAACATTTCTCAACTTCCTTCCGACAAGGCCAGGTGGTTAGGGCGCTCGACTTATAATCTGCTAGTCGCGGGTTCGAATCCCCGTCCCACCAAATAATGATGGCCCTTTTAGCAGCGGGGGCGTTATAATGGAACGGTCAATCCCACTATTCGTTGGTAAAAAAGTTGGCGGTGGGTGGTGATGACAACAATCCAATTTCTAGATCTTATTACAAATATTTTGCATATTTTACTATTAGTTAACAACATTAATTCAGGATATGTTTTACTCTACTTGAATTTACTTTCACACTTTACTTAACTAAAGTATCCTGCTTTCACAAAATCATCTCCCTGATTGGATGGTTTGTACTGAATTTCGCGCAAACCTACACGAAGGCTATCTGTGCTAGCCGTCCCTAAGTTAGCAGTAATAGACTAAAGGGGAGGTATCTAATCAATACTACTCACCTCCAACTCTTGGGCTACTCGTTTACCAACGAATAGTGGGATTGACCGTCAGAGAATAACGTCCCCACGGCAGAAAAGGCGAGCATCTTCGAATATTCGAACCCACTACCCACAGATTGCGAGTCGATCGCCCTAATCACTACGCCGTGCCAGGCCTCAGTGTGTTTGAACTTTATGAAATTGCTTCTTATAAAATTCTGGAATATATCCTGATTTTTAGTATATATATATGTGTGTGTGTGTGTGTGTGTATCATATTTCATTACTTTAGAGATACATTTACTAGATTTTAAAGATCTAATATATTTACAAAAGTTATGTTTAGTTATATTTACAGGATTGAAATTTTTGATCTTGCATGTCTGTCATTATATGCCCCCCCGCCACCCCCCGCGCCTCCTGCGCGAGCTCAAGTCGGTGCCGTCCT